TAAGTATTTTATTAATAATTTTGATATTTTATTTTTATTAATAAGAGCTAATTAATATTTATCTTATTGTTATTTACTATATTTGTGATAACTAAATATTTTGAATTTAGTAACTATTCATAATTATTTTATATGAATATATATATATATATATATATATATATATTGTGAGATTTTATTATTAAATGTTATGTTATTTAATTATGTATAATAAGGGAATGGAACTTATTTTTGATAACTATGGTTCACATTTTTATTAAAGGGTTAAAGGGAGGTTAAGTTTTAAAAAGAAAAAAAGAGAGTTTATTAGTTTTACGTTTTATGTTTTTTTTTCAAACGCATTTACGTTTCAGAGCTCGGAGAACTGGAAGGAGGAGGAAACCACCCAAGAGTTAATCGTTCATCCTTTTCTGCTCAACAAGGTAAGGGGGTGAGAAACCTCGTTCTAAGTGTGGAAATGCATATTGGGTAATGAGATTGACCCCAATCTTGTGTTTGTTGTATACTCATGTATGAGCGGTTTCCCCAATTAAATCTATTTTACTTTTTGTTCTTCTTGTATATAATTAATTGTATGATTTGAGATCTCTATGAGTTCCTTTGGAAAATCGTAAGGGAATACATTGGAAGTTATATGAGAAGATCATGCATCTTATGCGAACAACAGGTAGAAGATTGGCACAAATTGTCTTCATTGGTCAACTCGTCCTCGTCAATCTCCAGCATGTCTTAAGAAGTTTCATAGTGCATTTACATCAACCAACACCACTTCCTCCAAAGCTATTCGCTATCCTCTCAAACATTTCCTTTTCTTATAAGCGTCTTTCACCATCTTTTCACAACTATATTATGTCCATTTTGTTTATCACCGAACCCAAGCCATGTGTTGAGGCTTCCAAGAATGCTTGTTGGCTTAAAGCCATGCATGATGAGATTACTGCACTTGAAGCAAAAAACACTTGGCTTTTCACTAATCTTCCTTCTCACAAAATTGCACTTAGGTGTCATTGGATGTACAAGGTAAAATATTATGTAGATGGTTCCATTAAATGCTATAAAGTGCTTATTGTTGCCAAAGGTTACACTAAAATAGAAGGCCTTAATTTCCTTGGCATTTTCTCACCAATTGCCATTAGATCTACAAGGTAAAATATAATGTAGATGGTTCCATTAAAGGCTACCAAGTGTGCCTGACTGCTAAAGGTTACACTCAAATAGAAGGCCTTAATTTCCTTGGCATTTTCTCACCAATTGCCCTTAGATCTCCACGGTCACATATACTGTCGATGGTTCCCTTACATGCTACCAAGTATGCCTTACTAGCAAAGTTTACACTGAAATATAAGTCCTTAATTTCCTTGGCATTTTCTCACCAATTGCCATTAGATCTACAAGGTAAAATATAATGTAGATGGTTCCATTAAATGCTACCAAGTGTGCCTTACTGCTAAAGGTTACACTCAAATAGAAGGCCTTAATTTCTTTGGCACTTTCTCACCAATGGCCAAGCTCAACATTGTTCATCTTCTTCTCACCCTTACTACCATTCATAACTAGCATCTCAAATAGCTCGACATGAACAACACTTTTTTGCATGATGATCTCCATGAAGAAGTTTACATGCAACTTCCTCTTTGTTTAATTGCTCCCAAGCCTAGTCAAGTGTGTCACCTACAACGTTCTCTCTACGGTCTCAAACAAGCCAATCGTCGATGGTATGCTTGACTTTTGCTTTTTATAATCTCATGGATATAAGTTGTCTTTGTCTGATAACCCTCTTTCTCAAATTCTTGACATCCAACATCATGGCTTTTCCTTGTTTACGTCAATGATATTGTTCTAGCTAGCTAGTGGCAACATTGCTGAAATCAATCATATCACTTCCCTTTTTGATTGTACTTATTATAAGATTAAGGATCTTGGTGATTTGAAGTTGTTTCTTAGTCTCTAGGTTGCTCATAACGCATAAGATATTCATTTATGTCAACGTAAGTATGCTTTCAACATACTCTTCGATAATGTCATGCTTGCTTCTTGTCCTACATTAACTCGTATATATGGATTATTGCACACATTTGCATGTTACCTCTAGTACATTCCCTATCGATCCATATGTTTATCATCAATTAATAAGACAACTAATCTATCTCAATACAACTCATCCCAATATCACCTATGTAGTTCAACATCTCAGCTAATTCATCTCCAATCCTACGAATGCTCATAATCAAGCAGGGTTCCATATTCTTTGTTACTTGAAAATTTCACTAGAGTTAGACATCCTTATGGCTGCCAACAACACCACCCAACTCAAGGCTTTTAGTGATTATGATTAGGTTGGGTGTATTGATTCTCGCCACCCCATTACTGGCTTCTCCATTTATCTTAACAACTCTCTCATATCATGGCGCTCCAAGAAGCAACCCATTGTTTCACATAGTTCTTTTGAGGCTAAATATAGAGCTTTGGCCTTAACCACGTGTGAGATTCAATGGCTTACATACCTTTTGAATGATATTGGTGTTCCATTTACTCGCCCTGCCTTGTTATACTATGATAATCAATTTTCTTTTCAAATCGCTTCCAACCAAGTTTTTCACGAATGAACGAGCGAAACATATCAACATTTTTTGTCACATAGTTTGTGAAAAAGATAATGCTGGTTTGATAAAGTTCTTGCCAATTTTCTCATCGTTCCAACTTGTCGACATTTTTACAAATGCTCTTTCTCCAATTATTTTTCAAGGAATTCGTTCCAAGTTGGGAATGCAAAACATCCATTCCTAGCTTGAGGAGGGGTTTTAATTATAGTTAGCTTTTGTTAGTTATGCTTAATTTCTCTTATAACTATTTTATGTTAGTATGTTATTTTCATCTTGTATATAACTCAATACTCTTCAATAATAAAGGAATCAAGTCATTGTTGATCATTCACTCTTTTGCTATACTCTCTGTCTCATTATCTTTTGCATGACATTGTTTGATATCCAAATCTCAAAGATAAAGTTTTAAAAAAATATATTTATGTTTGTATTTTTTTGTAGGTTGTGTTTAACACACACCTAGACAAAGTACAAGGGAAACAACATAAACACTAGTACAAAAGAGGTAATATACGTCGGTTATTTTAAACTTTTTACGTCAGAAAAAAGTCCGACGTTAAAGCGGGAGACGTAAATTTACGTCGATTGTGAAATCCGACGTAAATTTACGTCAGACATTGCCAAGATCTGACATAAAAAAGTTGTAAACAAAAAAAAAACTATAACGAGTGCAAGCAGAACGGGTCCTTCTGCTTGGAGAACGGTCCGTTCTACTTGAAAAATGGGTCGTTCTACTTGATAGAACAACCTAGAAGAAAAGGCCAACAACCCAAACAAATAGAACAACATAAAGACCGAATAAAACAAATAGCCACAATAGCAATGCGAAGCAAAAAGGTGTTAGCGATTCATACCTGAGCTGCAACAATGTGCGAACGAGTAACAAAGAGTTCACCCTTTGCAAAAGATAGAAAAAATGATTTAGCAACAAAGGAGAGGGAGAGGGTTTATACAGAGAAGAATCTAGAAAAGTGATGAGATCCGAGTGAGTGTGTGCGTGCGTGTGCCTCCCATGCACTCTTTTTATTTGTTTTCGCTACTTTTTTTATGTCGGACCTGGTAGGGTCTAACGTAAAATGTAAAATCTACGTTGGTTGTATGTTGTGTCCGACGTAGATTTTACATTTTATGTCGGACCCTACCAGATCCGACGTAAAAAAGTTCACAAAAGTTACAAAAATTGTCACCACATCTTTTTTATGTCGATTTTGTAAGTCCGATGAGAAATAGGTGACGTAAAAGCCTCGTTTTCCACTAGTGAGAGATAATGCTTAAGTTATTGAACAACTATTTATTTTAAACATTGTTTACCAAATGATAAACCTAACAAACAAAATAATATGAAAAATATTTTAATATTAATTATCATAATAAATTTTTATTATTTTAACAAAAATAATGGTGGAGAGAGATGTGGTGATGATAATAAAATAATAGTATAACGGTAGTTATGTCAACAATAACAACAATGATAAATACAAAATGATGGTGGGTGACGATGGTGAAGGTGGTAGGTTGTGATGGCCAGGGGTGGAGGGAGGGGGGAACCTAGAGGGACCATGGTTCCCCTCCTCCTCTGCCCCTCCAATTTTTTAAAATGTACTAAAATTACTTTTTAAGAAAAAATTTGCCCCCGTAAAATTTATATATAAAAAATAAGTTTAAATATGTTCAAATTACCTTGAATTAGGTTAATTTTTGGATTATTAATTATTTTTTTTTTAAATTACCTGACTAATTTTTTTTTCAATTTAGTATCTGACGTTAGTTTTCGTCTGTTAAATGATGATGTGACTAACAGACTGCCACGTCATCATCTAACAGTTATGTCATGTCAGCACACATGTCCACCTCATTCTCCACATAATTTGTCACGTCAGACTTGAAATTTAAAAAAAAAATTGTTTCGCGTTACGAACCAGCCTCCCCTCACCGCCCCGCTTCCCCTTGTCGCCCCGCCTGGTGGCCATCGGGGACCTCCTTGCAACCTCGACAAGTCCAAGCGATGGATTTGCTGCGCTTGAGGGTGATATCAGGGTCGGAGTCAGAGGATGGTTTGGTCTTCTTGTTCTTCTTGGCGAGGAGGAAAGGAAGGCGGGTCCGGCGGGCATAGTAGTGGTGGTAGTGAGAGGGTGTGGAGGTTGGAGTGGCGGCAAGAGAGGCGAAAGAAGAGGGGGCAACGTCGGATCTGAAGGAAGGGGAAGAGGAGGAAGAGGAAGGGGCACAGATGAGGAGAGGGAAGGAATAGGAGACGAGCTTGCCGTAAACTGGTGGGCCCTGGGGATTCTCACCTACGAGATGCTCTATGGGAGGACGTCGTTCAAGGGGAAGAACCACAAGGAAACGTGCTTCTGAAGCTGCTGGAGTTCGTGGGGAGAAAGACGACATTAACGGACCTCATTGAACGGTTGGAAGATCCATTGCCACCAATTCCTCCTTGATATTCTTGTACCTCAGCAGCTCCTCATCGAACACCTCCTCCTTCACCGCACTAACCTCACCCACGTTGGAAGATCCATGCCACCCTGCTCCAACGGCGCTCCCCATCGCAACCTCCAACACCAACACCCCAAACGTGTACACATCAGCCTCCTGTGAAAGCCTCTTCACCTCCACCTGCTCCGATGCCCCCAACCTGGCTATCGCGTAAACGAGATTCAACAACAACAATAGCCCAATGTCTAAAACGCAAGCAACCTTATTCTTGTCCAGAAGCACGTTTGAAGCTTTCACGTTCTTGTGAGGTATCTTGGATGTGTTGTACTCCGCATGAATTCGAGCCAATCCTTTCGCCGTTCCTAACACCAAGCTTATTCTTTTCGTCCAATCCAATGGGATCCTCCCTGGTCCCCTATTCCCTGTTAATACCAAAATCATTTATATATTCATTGCTCATCCCTGCAATGTGGGACTTAAATTAAAGACTAAAGACTAACCATGGAGAAGGTTATGCAAGCTTCCATTGGGGAGATAATCATACACCAGAAGTTTTTCTTCCTTCGCGTAATAATAAGCTCTCAGCCTCACAATGTTGGGGTGTTTCAGCTTCCCTACAACGTCCATATACTGTTCAAACTCATTCCCTTCGCAGGGGTTAGCGTCTTTCAGTTTCTTCACAACCACGGTGCAACCGTCGTCCAACACTGCTCTATAAATCGTTCCCAAGCTTCCCTTTCCGAGCATCTCTGCCGAAGCTCGAAGAAGATCCTCCAACTCAAACTAGTTCCTCCTATCTAAAAACACAAGCTTGCTTCGTTCTACATCTGTGTTCGTCCCATCGCTATCTCTATCCACATGTGCGCCATTCCCATATACTTTCTTCTCGCTCCCGGAGTTGGTCTTACTCTTCCTCTTCCCACTCTCGCTCCTGGAGGTCAGTTCGTAATGCGAAACAAATTTTTTTTAAAATTTCAAGTCTGACGTGGCAAATTACGTGGAGAATGAGGTGGACATGTGTGCTGACATGACATACACTATTGGGTGATGACGTGACAGTCCGTTAGCCACGTCATCATTTAATAGATGGTAACTAACGTTAGGCACTAAATTGAAAAAAAATTAATAAGTAGTAATCCGAAAACTGACCTAATTTGAGGTAATTTGAACATATTTAAGCCTAAAAAATATTATAGATTGATAGACAAAAATTATCATATTAGTTTACACTTAGGAAAAAAATAGATATACATATGTAGGGTTGAAATATAATATGATAATAAGAGTGGTAAAAAAATATAAATGATAATGAACTATTTATAATGTTTAAATATTTATATGTGTTGAGAAAAAAAAAAATTGGCCCTCCTGAAGTCAAATTTCTAACTCCATCTCTAATGACGGTAAAAATAGTTAATAATAATGGTGATAGATGATAGTAATAGTGTTGAACCAAGATAATAAAGGTCAAGATTAGGGATGACAAACATACCCGTACTCGCGGGTAATACCCGAACCCGTCCCGACTTTGACGGGGAATCCCCGGTTTGACCGGGTACGGGTACGGGTACAGGTAAAACCCAATATATTAAACCGGTACGGGTACGGGTACGAGTATGTACTTACTCGCCCCGTACCCGTAATCGTACCCGTCCCTGTTCTCATTTTTAATTTAATACTCACTTTCAATTTAATTATATTAAAAAAATTTAATATTTTTTTTGTGTGTGATTTATTATAATATAAGATAAAGAAATAACTTAATTATAATTATAATATAATAAAAAAATAATTTAAAAATATTATTTTTTTTACAAAAAATAAAAAATAAAAAAATTGACGGGTACGGGTACGGGTACGGGTATACCCGATACCCGACAGGGACGAGGATGAGGATAAAAATCTATACCCGACGGGTATAGGGACGGGGACGGGGATGAGTTTAACTCGCAGGAACGGAGACATGTATCATGAAACCCGTACCTGACCCGCCCCACCCCGTTACCATCCCTAGTCTAAAATAGTGTTAATATAAAATAATAATGACTAATGAGTATGCTTATACTTAAAACAAAAAAATTGTCTCATAATTCATTAAATAATAAAAATTAAATTTTTTGTTATGTCTTCTTCTTTTGTTTGCCTATCCCATAATCATTTTATAAATCAAATATAAAATAATTATGTTTATCAAGATTTTTTTAGCAAATAAAATATACATCAGGTGTTATTATCATTATTTTGAGAAAAAATGGAAGTTATTTTGTTGTTTTGACATAGATGGTGAGTGGACCTAATGATCATAAGATTCCCATTCAATATTCATTGTTGTGAGGCTGAGGCAGAACAGAGGAAAGGACTTTCCCCCATAGAAAGCAAAGCAAAAGCACTGCACATGCTCTCTCCCTGCAACTTTGCTTCCCATATTAATGGCTCTGAGCCACGCAAGCTGGCTCTGCAATCTCAAACTTCATCTACATTTACTACGCTCATGTTTATCTTGCACTTCTTCATCCCCACTATTCTTTTATTCATTCCTAAAATTCCAAATAACCAACCTTTTATAAATTTCAAACCAAGCTTTTTATTGAACGGCGTGAAAATGTGGGGTCGTTAACGGGTTTCAACTTGTGAATTGTTATGAATCCAACATGGTCCCTCATTGAAATCTTAACATTTTAATATTTTTAAATGTTAATTTTCTAACTAATAAAAACACTAATTCTCTTCCGCAGGTACAAATAAAAGATTAGCCAATTATTAAGAACAAAAGTCAAAGGTGGAGTGTGGTTGGAAAAAAAAAAAAAAAAAACTGTCAAACTCACTCAAAAAACACATCAGCTCAGTCGCATGAGAGAGTTGGGGCTGGGGCCAGCAATTTATTGCATTTGGTATAACTGGTTTGGGTCAAATCTTTCTCAGTAATTTATTTTCTGATTTTATTGACAGTGATTTCAAATTCTTTATTATTTATTAGAAAAAAACACCGGGTTCAGCACATTGATAGAGAGGTTAGTACATATTTTTAAGTTGTAATTTTCTATTGATAAAAAATATTTAAAAAATTAAATATCATATTAAATAATTTTAAAATTAAAATCAGATTTTACATTTTTAAGAATTTAATTTTAATACATTAATAATGTAGATTTTTTTTATTATCATCTAATTATAAATCGTAATGAATTACAAGACTTTTAATTTGAAAATAATAAATTTAAATAGTTAATGCAAATATATATATATATATATATACACACATTATTTTTATTTTATTTTACCACGGGTATTTAACATCATTTTTGTTACTAACTATCTTAAGGTTAGTAATTTAAAGAATTGGAAGTAATTATTTATAAAGATTAATATTTAATACTATTAATATATTTTCATCATATTTTAAAATATAAATTTATCAAAAATACCTATTTATAGTAATGTTTAACAAAATTATGAATTATTATCCTATGTAATAAATATTTTCTAATATTTTTATTAATAATTATGTAAAATCAATGTCAAGAGAAACGGTGTTACATGTTAGTATTTAGCTGTTAGGATGGTGTTCAAAAATTTCTTGAAATTAATGTGGTTAAAATAAAAGACTATATTAGTTTTTTATTTTATTTTAATTTTCTTAAAATAAATAAATAATAAAATGTTGACACATGAATAAATATTAATCATCAACTGATATTTATTAAGTTATATAAGTGTATCTTTCTTTAAATGTTATGATTAATGAGAAATATGAATATTAATTTTATTTTTTTAGAATTTTTGTAATAACTCTCATGATAAAAATATAAGAATAATGATAGAGCAAATATATCTTCTTTCTATCATTAGTAGTTGGTGGTTTTAGTGTGAGGTGGGTGTTTCCCCCACAAGTCCCTACTTACAAGCTTTCGTTGCTCAAGCGTATGCCACATCCTTCCCTGCCCTCCTGTCTCCAATTTATACATGTGTGGGGCAAAGTGAATCTCATATATATTATTACACGTATATATACTCCATGTTTCATTTTGTTTATCATGTATGGGTATTGCCAACTAAAACAAGTAAACACCAATCTAGATTCAGTGAATGATAGGCTTGTCCTCTACAAGGTCTCAAATCTAGGCTCAGTTATAAACCAAGTATTAATATTGATGGATTGGGAAAGAAAAAAAAATGTGAGCTACATTCAACACAACATTTTTCTAATATTACAACAGCAATATGTCCTTATAAATATAATATAGGTATATATAAATTTATTTCACATATATTAAGTTTAATTTTAGAGTTTATTTTAAATAGAATTTAATAACATATATTATGTATTATTATAATTTATATTTATATTTTTTAACAATGTATCAATATATATTATATTTATTAGTGTAAATAAAAATAATTTTTAATAATAAATAATATGTTATTATACCGTATGGTGCCGATTGGACCGAATTATCCGAACCCCTTACCGTTCCCGAACCGGCCGAATGCCCGATACCACCGACCCCAAAATAGCGTACGGATAAAATTATAATAACAATTAAATAAAAAACTTAAAATTATATATTAAGTATAAATATAATATAATATTTTTATTTTAAGCTATTTTGTATATGTTTTTAAATTAAAACATAATAAATTAAAATTGTAAAAATATGTGTCGTCGATTTTTTGAATTATAATTGTCATATGTGTATGACATTAGGAGGTATATCAGGTCATTATCGAGCATATTTTATGTTTTAGAGTTATGTTTATCTTAAATAATTATAAAGTATAAGTAAACATATTTATATTTGGATAATTTTATGTGTTAGATATTTTTTATATTTTTATATTTAAGTTGCAACAAGAGAAGGAATAAGTATAACATTGACAAAGAACAAAAATAAATTAAGTGAAATAATGAGAATTATCGTTATAGAAGTCTCGTTTAAGCAAACTATATTGATGACTTATAACACCTTGTTTGTAGTATGGGTGAAAAAATATACTTGAAACTTAAGTTGATTCGCAAAAATTACTTCAATAAAGACGATAAAAATCTGCATAATTAATGAGCATGGGGTGGGTACAAGAATTTACATTCAAAATTTAGAGGGATGGAGGCAGGTACTATAATACCCACCCAACTCGTCATATACCTTTACTTATATATAATTATTTAATTAAAAATATCTTATATTATAATATAAAATCTTAAAATTTCAAATTACACTATTTTATTTGTTTAATTAGAGTTATTGTACAAACATTTATTTGATATTTTTAATTATTATTTTAGATAATTTAATCTTTAGGAAATATTTTTCATGTTTTAATTTATTTAAATATTATTAGATAAAAGTAATATTTAAAATTAAGAGATAAACATTTACACAATATTTTAT